CCGCTTCCAGTCAAAACAAGGAGTTTTGGAAACACTCATGAGAATTACTCGAAAATTGTGTGTGCCCAAATGTTTTTTTAAAGCGCGAAAGTAGTTGGTAATAACTTCTGGTTTATTGTCAGGGGGAAAGTCATGGTTGCCAGTAACTAAATTTAGACCGTTCTAAGAGGCAATTTCGACCAATGCACATTCATCGAAAGATTCTAAGTCACACCTGCGCTTACAGGAACTAACGCTGGGGAAAAAAGCTATGAGCACTACACTTCCACGCGTCTTATTGGTGCATACTCTGTCAAAGCAGAAAACTGAATAAGTGTCAGGAAATAAATTGTGATCGTAATACAAGCCGTTACGCCTTATCTCAGCTAACCATATTGTATTGTGTCCAGCGGACCAGATGTTATCATACAGTTCAAGTTGCTTGGTCCTGAGACCTCTTAACGTTTTTATGAATTTAATGGCGAGTGTCAGACATGGAAAAGACACTTTCGTTTACGTCACGAATATGAGCTATTAAAGAGCGCAATAAAAGTTACTTGATGTAGCAATTAAGAAGTATTAATGCTTCCCCTATACTACATACTAGTGCTCTTCCACTAGAGGAGTACACCTCATCAGAGGTCAGTTTTCCGCAAAAGGGAGCAATGCGGCACCCATTTGGCCATACACCAGTGTTACTGATGACTTCAATTACAAAAATGTCGAACGAGGTATAAGAACTACATTTAGTTTCAAATCTGGTGCAGACTAACCTTATACATAACTATCTATGCCCTCAGGATGAGAAAAGAAGGGCCACAGACCTTCCCCTTTTCGATAAAATAAGTAGACAGGCAGAGTCTTTCACCCACCTGAACAGTTGTCTGTGTTGTCTTTCGGTGTTGACGTTTTTTTAGACTTCACGTAAAGTCAATTGTATTGGCCTTCGAATGTCATAGGAAGTTTAACTAATTTAAATAGATACTGGTAGGCATGATTAGAACACTAGAAGAATTTAGGGACAGATTATCTTTAAACACTAGCTTATTAGATTAGTGACAAAAATGCACAATTTTTCGAAAATATAACAATAAGATTATTTTATTACTGTCCTAACTGGAAATTACTTAAGAAGAAGATGAATGTCTTTTGAGTTGTTGACCCGTGTAATCTGGTAGAAGTTTACCAACGCTTTAGATGACCTTGCTGCCTTCATCATCAGGGCGAAGGGTCACGTCCCTGATGATGGAGGAAGGAACATCCTCTGAAACCTTGGTAGACTTCTACCAGTCTACACGGCGCAACAACCTAGAAGACAGCCATCTTCGGACTCACCGACGTGAAAAACGTCAAATCCTACCTACCTACTTAAAGAAGTGTTACCTGGAGTAAGTTCTAATTTTACCTACAGCTACTGTGAATTTTGTGGGTAATCACATAAATTCCATGGAATATTTCTCTATAAATAATTATGAATTCTGACATAAATGTAATTATCCGGGTGTCTAAAACAAAGGTCACATTTCTGTGAAATAAATTGCAGACTGTATAATAGGAGTATAGATAGATACATTTACGTAATTGTAAGTACCTTTAAAAAATGTAAAAATCACATTAAACACCTTGAATTGAATTTCATAAAACGCATTCCTTAGATATGTGAAGCATTTCTTTATACTTGATAGAAAACATTTTCGAAGTAACATAAAGTCAAGAAGGGGAATAGTCACAAATTAATATTAAGAACACTAAATCAAGCATCATAAAATACTTACTCGGTCTGCATATCCACTCCCCTTGACCTTCGTTTCCTTTTCTTGTTCCTCTGTTTCCTCTTGTTTTGTGTTTTATTCCCTTCGTCATATTCCGTGCAGTCCACACTAAGCGGCAAGCAGACTTCTGGTACTGAACCACTGACTCCCCGTAACAAATCTCCAGGACACAGTTCTTCATAATTTGTCGACAACACAGAATGGTCCTCTTGTTCTGGAGATACTGCAGAATACACTGTATCAAAGTTTCCGCTATTATTAACAAGCGATAATGAAAACGCATTACGAACTTCGTTGTATTCTTTCGGTGTTTTTAAAACATGATCGGACTGTACTCTTGAACTGACAATGGGCAATATGCATTCGTTGTTGGTAAGTTTATTATAATGATGTAACTCCGTTCCTGAATCATCTACATTAGAATGTAAATTGTCTTCTGATTTTGTAGCAAGCATAATGCCTTGACAACTGACTTCTAATCCTTCATTAGCGGAATGGGAGTTACTAGTCGCATTCCCATTATACTCATACTGTCCGTTACTGGCACCTCCTGGAGTCGCAGTGTAACAGTCTTCTGTATAGCCAACCATTAAACGTATGTCCTGACGAGAACAACATTTGAGATTCATATCGATGTCATGATGTTTTGGGTAGAGACTTCCAGCTGAATCTTCAACAGGACATTGCTCTGACGATAAAAAAGCATCCCCTGCTAATACAGTTTCAGAAGATTCCATATTAGCTTCAGAGTTCCACAGTGAAAATTTTACTTTTATTTCACAGTCAACATCTGACGTATTGATTCTGAATGTATAACTGAATTCTTATTCGCAGCTCTGTGTATCAAACCTTTATAAAGTGAAGTAGCATGTATATTAAATTTCTGTATGAATCTTCGGTAGAAATAAATTCATTTTAACAAGCCAGTTTCAAAGTTTATCCACGTAAGATAATGTAGGTATCTAGGTTGCTGGCACTCTATTCTTTGGTGATATCACTATAAATTAGTTTCTATGAAACAATAGATATTACTTTCTTCTGACATCATGTGGCATTAGTACCCTGGCACAGGTAATAATATATCTGCGTTGTTACCAACGTTTTCTTAATCACGATTCAATTCACTGTCAGCATCCGAGTAAAGGCAGCGTGGAACAGTAGATGCAAAGAGACGACATGACGGATGCTGCGCTGCGCTGCTAAACATGTGTCATCTGAAAACAAAGTGGATGTTTCAAATACAAACACTTAAAAGATAATTCAACCTAAATAAAAATAATGAAAATCTCATTACATGCTACAGGCTTAAAGTTCGGAACTATTCATTTAGTTTCACGATGTAATGGAGCATATCGATGATTTCAATAGGCTAATAACATCTGTGTTTAATAACAATAATATAATACTTTCAGAATTCTAAAATGCATCACACCAATGACGTTTGGCTTGGAAAACTTTTTTATCTTCTATCAAAATGTGTACAAATAAGATATTTTTCCAGGAATTTAAAACTCTCGTTGGCTGGAACACATTAAGAACCTACACACGCTCTCTTGTTGTTATAGAAAAGGGTTTTGCGTTTGTCTTGTGCCTTGATATGTCCAATATGTTTCAGATCAAGAAAACGTATTATCAGGTACAGGGCAGGGAAATGAGGTGTTTGGATAACGACTCCCATAGCGTACAACTGCGTTAAGCAGAAAGATCGAAAAATTACGCAAACGCATTCCTAACACGTTTTGTCAAAAAATAAATTTGATTTAAATAAAGGAACAATTTTACATTACGTATCCGTTTCTTTGTATCCTATTGTGGTCTTTTTATATGTATAACGGGAAAGGGTTCCATCACACACAGTAGCTTATATTATTGACAATACAGAATTAAACAAAGTCTGTGCTACTGGACCTTTGTTCTTTTTATGTTGTATGAAGTGTTTGAAACGTCGGCTGCGTTCTGTATCTTTGCCTAACACAAAAGGTCGAACGGAACGGTTTGTGTCCTGAACGCTTTTTGGGCCACGGAAATGGTTCACCTGACGGAACACTTGTCGATTTTCTTTGATGCAGGAGAATCGGCAAAATTATCCGTAACCCGTTCTGGTAAGTTAAGTTGGAACGAGAAGCCAAATATCGTTGACAATGAGCGCTGGTTACCAGGGCCGGGTTTACAGTGTGGGGTCCCCGGCGAAATGAAAATGTGGAGGCCCCTATTAGTAACAACTTCAAGTTATACTTTAATTACTTAAAAATAATTAAATACAAAGTAACACGTGATTGCTTTCCGGCGAAGATTACCTGGTCGCTTATCTCCATAAAATAGACTTAGATTTTATGGAGGCCACTGTTTTGTAGAGGCCCCGGGGCGACACCCCCGACGCTGCCTCTCAAATCCGGCCCTGCTCGTTGCACTTGTGAAAAGGACGTCCTTGCACTTCGACTGACGGACTGGAGAGAGCAGGTTACAACATGGCGTGATCTGCATGGGCTCTTGTATAATCACAGCGATATTGTCTGCTTATTAATTACTTCAATGAAATTGTATTCAATTGCAATCATCAACTTAATGACTTTTCGATCAGTCTGTGTTATTATTATATTAGTTAAGTTCTGAAAACCGGTGAGTTTTATACAAAAAATTATAGCATGTGTGTATTATAAATTCTACAAAATTATTCATTAACTTTCTTTAAGATAAATATGTAGCTACATAAGCCCAAAAATACATGTGTATCTGTAAGCAAATTGGATTACAGTGAATAAAACTTATAAATTTTGATGTCCATATGATACAATTTCTGGGCATAAATGTTCATCAGAATACGCAAAAGAATGTTTAATCCACCATTACAATGATCAAGTCTTTAATT